CAATCAATAAAACAAGGATTGTACATAGAACAATATCGGACCTCTGAAAAGTACAAGCATGCATATGTACTCAGTACTTGGTTTGGGCCCCTTTTGCAGCACTTACTGCAATTACTTTTGCACGATATTCTAATTATTCGAGTTTCACCTGTATATAACTACTGATGCCAGTGACAATTGTCTGAACTAGTAGCTCAAATGTACCATCAGGGCTTTTGGTGTCATTAAATGGCTCACAGACAAGTGACCTTTTTACAAAGTTGATTCTTGACCTTTTGGAAGCTCTTTATGATGTTCTTTAATTGTCAAGGAAGATCAATTTATGTTTGTAGACTAAATAGTTCATTATAAAGCTGTTTAATGGAACTTAAAGAATGTTGAACTTGGGTTGATGTTTAGGTTGCAACTAAGAACAGTTTGGTTGACGTGGCTGGGTTTGTTAGCTGCATCATTTATTGATATGCCAGGTGAATGGGCAGTAAGGGGCAGCAGTTAATACATTTAAAAAAAAAATTTTTTTTTTGCCTTGGGTCAATTGAAGTTCTGTGTACTATATTTTAGATGGCTTCCCAGCAGATTTGAACAGTGTCCCTATGCCTATTTGTGTAAGTCTTAATGGAATCCGCCAGCAGTCTCTTGGGTGCCGTAGCTGTAGAACGCCGACAGTCTCTTCATTTTCTAATGGTGGTAGAATTCTGGACTGTTTTAGCCAATGGTCAAAGAGGAAAAGCTGATGTTTTATTGGCTAATTATTTAGAATTGAAAAGGCCTGAAGCCATGCTAGCCCTTTTGTTGGATATGTTGTAATACAGAAATACTTCTTCTTTTTTTTTTTTATATGACTTGCCGATGTAACATAAATGCTCAGATATTACTGTATAAAATAAATAGAAACCAGTGACTTTAGAAATGCAAAATGTTTTAAGTTAGCGGAATTGTAAAGTTCTGTAATATTGCGATGTATAGTATGTTTGTATGGATTGTTTTTGTGCAGGGTGGGACAACTCATGAGCCAGGTCAGCAATACTCAAAATTTACAGCTGTTGTCCCAACTTTTGAGGTTTGCTCTAGTTTTCAATGGGTCTGGTTTCTAGAAAATCCTACTGGCTCCTTGATTGGACAGACTGGCTGCTCTCCAATCAAGGACACCACCCCTGTTTTAATGTGATTTTGTAGCACTAATATACATGCACAATCCATAACCCCCTTTCTTTCCCTTACCTTGCAATCTTGTATGTGTAAATTTTGGTGCTTTGTGGATAATGGTCAGACAAATCTGTTGCATCTAGAAATTCAGAGCTGGGTTTCCTCCTGGAGGACTTTCTGACAGTCTCTTTATACCCATGTCACATATTTGTACCACTGTGAAAATGACTGACTGGTCATATATTTATCAATACAATGGCTCCTGGGAATTAAACTTATTGCATGAGTACCTTGCCTCCCTCGAAAGATGGAATCTCTTCTGGACAAAAAGTAAATGAATCCAGCAAGCTCCTTACTTCCTGTTTTTGAGCTGCCTTTGTTGCACTGAAATCTCAAACAGTGTTGTCAGCACTGCCCTGTACTCCCATACTGGACTACAGAACACATATTGCGTTGTGTTCTCAGTCCAGCCCAAACATACTTTATGGGGGCTGAATAATGTTTTCAGTTGTTTTTAGATATTCATATATAAATAAAAAACAAAACTAGATGAACTTTAATGGCATCCCAGTCTTAGTCCGTAGGGTTCACTATTGCGTTGGCCCGCCCTTTGCAGCTATAACAGCTTCAACTCTTCTGGGAACTCTTCTGTCCACAAGGTTTAGGAGTGTGTCTATGGTAATGTTTGACCATCCGCATTTGTGAGGTCAGGTACTGATGTTGGAGAAGGCCTGGGCTCGCAGTCTCCGCCCTAATTAATCCCAAAGGTGTTCTATCGGGTTGAGGTCAGGACTCTGTAAAGTCCAGTCAAGTTCCTCCACCCCAAACTTGCTCATCCATGTCTTTATGGACCTTGCTTGGTGCACTGGTGCGCAGTCATGTTGGAACAGGAAGGGGCCACCCCCAAACTGTTCTTACAAAGTGGGGAGCATGAAATTGTACAAAATGTCTTGGTATGATGATGCCTTAAGAGTTCCCTTCACTGGAACTAAGGGGTACGTGCTGTGTTAGGACTAGATGGACAAATACAAAACTTTGGCAGGTTATATAATACCAGTATGTGTATTTAGCTTTTTTCCTGGGGTTCATTGTTGAGCAGAAGGACTAAATGAACCAAATACTAATCTCCCTCTAGTGGTTAAGCTGCAAATATCTATATTTAATAAAGCAGCAAATATGGAAGGGCTACCATTAAAAAAATTATATACAATTTAAGGTGAGCTCTGAATAAGCTTGTTTACAACAGTGTAGAAGGTTTTGTAATGTTGTTATGACCTGAACATTTTCTCATCACCTCCGTCTCATGTGGTCGGATGTCGCAGTTGACATAGGTGCAAATTAAATCAAATTAAAATTGGTATCTTGGTTATTGCTTCTAGCCATCATGTCTGCATGTGCACTACAACTATACTTATTTAGCCAATAGTAACATTAGTCAAGTCTATTCTTGAAGGGATTACAGTCGGTATTATCCACACCTTTACTCTTGCCAGCTGTTCAGGCTTTATTGTACAGATAGGAAAAACTGTGTCAGTATGTAAAGGACCATTTTGGTCAAATATGAGCTTTTTGACTTGGAAAAAGAGTTCTATTTAAAGTGAACCTTTCCTTTGCTCATACAGGGCACAGGAACTGTTCACATGCCTCCTCCCCAGCAGCATTCACTCTTCTTACCTTGCTCTCCTGCTGCTCCATTCATTCACCATCCACATGTGACTACAAATGCAGAGACAACTAGTACTGTCACATGAGGCATACTCATGTGACATACTCAAGTGCATGTCTGGACAAAATAAATTTAAAAAAAAAACATATCCAACTATAGCTGGCCATTACTCCTATATTTTTTTTAAATTTAACCCACAGGCTGAACTAAAAAAGAGAGCAGATTCTTCTAACGCTACGAGCACGTTGATCAAGGAATTGCCACGGTCTCTTTTGTAGTCGGACAGCGGTCACCAGCCGTACGAAGATATTTCAACTGGTTCCTTCGATCAGCTGATCGATGGATGCCAGCCAAGAGGGTGCTAACAAATCCCAGGAGCCAGGTCGCCAACAGCTGGCACCTAACTTTTGAGAATTTAATTTTTTCCCCCACTAGTTAAACCCCTGCTGGCTCCTGGAGTGGATAGACTGGCTCCCGGATCCCATATTGTCTATGCCTGTATTAAAGCGGCTCTTTTGCTATAGTACAGAATTTGGATAAAGGCATACCTTTCTTTGTCAAAGTCCAAGTTTCAAGTCCACACTGAAACCACCATTCTGGGAGTGTTGGTCTACCATGTCCCCCGCAGCTCATGCTGGTTCATCATCAGATCAGCTCACTTGCCTCACCTCTCTTGGATGATTCAAAGAGCGTCATAATTACATAGGTGCCATTCTCCCTCTGTAAGGTGCGAGTGGACATAAAAAAAAAAAAAAAATAGCCTGTAATTGGGCTTTAAACTGAAAAAATATGTACCAACTTAAAGTAAACTTGTCAAAAATGAAGTAGGGAAAGCTGCTATCAAAGCTCTCCTAAAAATTATGGTTTCCTGGCTGTTAAACTATTTGCATTCAGCACTTTAAATCATTGACCTGGAACAAGTTTGCAGCAACTCTTTGGTTGCCATCTCATGGTCATTGCAACATCTTGCATTCTTTTTCCTATTGTGTTTGGGTGTTGGGACTCTGGATAACAGTCATGTCACTGGTGTTACAGGCTGACGGAACCTCTATGATACTTTGTTGCTGTTGTTGGCATATCGGAGCAAGAGGTATTTAGGTTGCTCCTGAGATGTAGTGAAGCTGTCATGTTGGATTTATAGTGAACCATGTGCTGATTTCGAGCACGCTGTGGCTGTAATTTACTGGTGCTACCTTGGGACTGTATAGTTATTTTATGAAACCATGCAAGTTGTAATGAGTTTCCATGTGATTTAGATGGGACTATGAAGTCCTCAGCAAATTGATGGACGCGTATATCCTTTTACAGTGCACAATCTCATGATATATTGTTGCCTTTTTGAGATGCAGGTTTTGCTTACAATCGAAGACTTCATTATATCGCCAAATGCTATTCAGGATAACATGGTAACCATCTAGGATTTGTAAATCTCTGTAGTCGTTGAAATCTGGTACCTGTCTGCATTTGAGTCACATCACTTACACAGGCTCTATGCAACCTTATGGATGTGCGTTAAATTGATTGCTTTCTCTTGATGAACCATTGAGCTAGCCTTGGCTAATGCCCTTTTTTTATTATCTACTGTTTCCGCTATTACTTTATATATAGTTGCTGCTATAGTCCTGTAAGAATCCCGATAATCCTTTGATTTGCAGTCACTGGAGAAAGTCGGCCATATTCTATGTGCACTGCTCGCGCCTGTGATGGACTGCAATCTCATGTTTAGTTAGATAATTTGTATTGAAGTTCTAGTCTAGTTCTAGCGAGCTTGGAGCGGTGGCTACTTTACAACACACACGGGGACCATTTGGAACAAAAGTAGCCACCCTCCAGAAGAAAGGACAGTGCCAGCACCAATTCAGAGATGATTTGATAATCTACAGCCGAGTGATGCACAAATAAGATACATTTACGATAATAGTTAAGGTACTTGAATGTATTTTTAAGATTTAACTCCTGAGTCTAGTGTCACTTTAAGCCTCTCAGTTGGCTTTTTTGTTTGACCAACCTTCCCTGTACAATCTGTAATCCAGCAGTCCCGGTAAGCTTTGTGGTTTGCCTGGAGTTTAGCTCTAAACGCACATCATTTATTAATATATGTAAAACATTTTTTATTTTTTTTCAATTTTTTTTGTACATGATTTTAATGTTTTATTTTTTTTAGTAATTCGATTTCTCTTTTTTTCAGAGATCGTTTACATTAATTTTGGAGGCTTGGGACTGGGATAATGACACTAAAGTGGGTGAGTAGATTATTATACCACGTAAGATAATTTCTACTTGTGTTATTTGTGGTGTTATACAGGCAGATTCAAAAACATGGTCTCATTCTTTTTTTTTTTTTGCTTACCCTGTCACCACATCTTACCCTCAACTAAACACAGGATGATAGCAGTTTGTGTTGGGTGTAATAGTAGAAGTAGTACGTGAAAAGACTTTAATAAACTGTTAACTATGTAATTTCTGCAACTTACATTGTAACTTGCCTGGCCTTTGTACCGAAACCTTTCCATTCCATGGGAATGTAACACCTGCCTGTGTTTGCTTTGATCAGTCTTCACAGAATTCTTCTTTCTCTGTAGTTTAATCTTTTACTATGTCTCTCCAACTGGATTAAATTTAATAACTATGCATCCTAAAAGTGGGATGGATTTTGCTCTGTTCCCATCAATTTAGAAGTGACTGGAGCTGTACATTTCTCCTGGCTGATTTTTAGCACTTTGTGTACGCTATTAGTTTAAAATAGAACCAGTTATTCCACCGCAGCATGATCATTGTGGGTAATGAAAGAGGCAACAAAATGATTGCCTTGTCTAAACCTAAAAATTGTCTCTGATATCTCAATGGGTACAGCAGGCGTTTTAATGGGGTTTTTTTTTTTTCCATGTAAAATGTTTTTGTTTTACAGAAGTCTTGTATTTCCACAAAATTTCAGTAAAATTCTTTATGGTCTTGTAAACTGCATCATTTGACTTGCCTTTGGCACTTACTGGCACTTTATGTATGTGTATATGAGCTAACCCTCCTTCCCTCCCCTCCAGATGGATAAGCAAATATTGTCTAAATACAAGAGCCACGTGTATTCTTACTTGAATCTTGGTGAGCTCTGTGTATTAATCCAATGGGACACTTGGAAGTTCCTGTAATAAAGACAGGTCACTGCTGCTCTCTCCTTGGGCAGGGTGATTGGTCTTATCCGCCCACCTCCTGTAGTTTTCTGCAGGCAGCCTGTAGTGGGCTCTTTCTGCACAGGTCATGTGCAGCACTGTGATGACGTCACTGATAGTTTTATAAAGTAATAACTAGGGATGCACTGAAATTTCGGCCGCCAAAACATTTTGGCCGAAAATGGCACTTTGGGCAAAATGCTGAAAGTGCTATCTTTCATTTGAAATGGCAGTGCATCCATAGTCTCTATCCTCCCCCCCTGGGTGGTGCTCTGTGTCCCGTCTGACGCAGCGTCCAGCAGAGAAAGTGTCTGGAGGCCGAGCTTGGAGGAGAGCGCTTTGAGCGTGTTGCAGGAGGATTCCTCCTCCCGCTCCTGTAACAGATCAGGAGAGCGTTGTGTGGGCGGAGACAGCTGTCACAGGAGGCTGAACCGGCGGTAAGGGGGAGGGGTCAGCTGTCAAATGAGACCGAGCTCTCCTCCCCGCACTGCTCGCACAGCCTCCTGTGATAGCCGATCCAGGATGGAGACTGCTATACAAACATTCATCGATCAAGGATTGCTGAATGTTTGTAAATAATTGGACATAGTATGAGTTACTTTGTACCAGTTATGACTTAACAGGTAGTGATCTTCTACTACTATTCATGATTGTGTACATAGTAACTCGTACTATATCCACAATGTATGAATAAACAGGAACACTCTGTATAGAGGATTCCTGTTCATTCAGTGCTGGGGCTGCAGAAAGATTGAGGACCCTGTGTCTACAATCTCTTTTTATATTATAAAAGGGAAATATCAGGGGTCTGTTTTAGACCACTGATATTTCACTGACGCACCCAGCAGTAAAGTTAAAAATAAATAAAATGTGCACCTCCTAGTAATTAAATTTGCAAAGGCATTTGGTGCACAGAGTGGATTTATATGCTTTGTGGCTATGGAGGAATATATTTAAATAAACACCATTGTGCCTGGAGTTCAGCTTCAAACAGTTGTAGCTGTTGTCTGCAGGATCCGTGCTGAGAATGCCTTCCTGTCCAAACTTCCATAGTCTTGGCATATGCACATTTATGCTTTCACAAGTCGAATTTTTCTTGTGTGTCCAATAACTCGGACATCCAGCTTTCGACCACGTAAGGTGATTACTGGCCAGTGGAACACATTGAATGTTCAATAGTTGAAGGATCCATGCTGTCTTATTATTGAAGGGCTTTCCCCTAGTTTTAAACAGTGTTTGAATCTTAACTGAAGTGGTGTTTATATTTTCAGACATAATCGGCATTGACCAAAGAAAGATTATAGTAACTCTGTAAACGGCAACTTGTCGCGTCTGTAAATTCCCATCAGATTTTGTTACCATAATAGAGATCAACTGGAATAAAAACAGATCCAGCTATGTATATATGAGTAACCTTAGCTACTGTCTATATATAATCCTAAAATATTTCTTAAAACTGTCCTGCAGCCTCTTCCTTCTGTCCTTGGCTAAAAACGAATGGTCGATTTTGCTGTTTTCAGGAAGGTATAGAGTAAAAAGAATGTGCAGGAAGCCATCACATCCTGGATGAGGTCATCAGCTTTGTTAGGCCTCTGGTCGGAGGACCCTCTGGAGAGGGCTGACTTGTTCAGCTATTTAATTGCATGCAAAGGAGAGGTGTCTCAAACCTCATAATAGTGCTTTAGAGAACCAAGCCAATGTGTTTTTAATCCATGGTTTGATGTGAAAGGAAATTAAACTGCTCAAGTGAGTGGATGTTGGGAAAAGTTCTGACAACTTTACTAGTTATTTGGGTTGTCTTTTCTGATTTTTACACTCAAAGGTGTTTTTACTTTCCTACCTCTGGGACACCATAGGGAACATTCTCTGCATGTCCAAGCAAGAATTTTCTATGGCCTTCTTCTCCGGGAACCTAAACTCAACCCAATCCTGTTTTTAAAGATGCACAGATCAGGAACATAGCTTGCCAAGAACCGGTTCATGGGTTCTGATTTAATATAACCTATGGTTTTGCAGGTATTACTGGGTACCATTAAATCAGTTGGACTTTGTTGTCCCTGGTTCGTTATTAAAGGTGCACCGAAATGAATACTTTAAAAACAAAACCGATATGAAAAAAAATGTCAGGCCGAAACTGTAAATCTCTTTTTCTGCAGCCCTTGTTATAAATGAAACGGAATCCTCTATACTGAGTGTTGCTGTTCATTCATAACTTGTGGACATGGTATGTTTGCTATAACCACAATCATGAATGAACAGGAGGTGATGTAGATCACTTCCCATTCATTCATAATTGAGGACACAGTAAACATATGCTGTTCTCAATTATTTACAAACACTCAGTGATCACTAATCACTGAGTGTTTGTACCTGCTCTCCATCCTGACAGCTGTCACAGGAGGCTGGGTGGGGAGGTACAGGAGGAGAGCACAAGCCTGCTGTGACAGCAATGGCTGTCACTGCCCACACCGCCACTCTCCTGATCTGTGACAGGAGGCTGAGCGGTGCGGGGAAGAGACGCCAGCCACTCTCAGCGCTCTCTTCCCGCACTGCTCGGCCTCCTGTGACAGTTTCTCTCCTCCCCGCTGGGACACAGAGCAGCACCCAGTGGAAGGAGAGAATTCACTGATGCACCGCTATTTCGGCCAAAAAAATTGCACTTTTGGCATTTTTGACAAAAGTGCCATTTTCGGCCGATATATCAGTGCATCCCCTATTCCTTATAAATATGATGCTCCTATGAATAGCTTTTTGCTCTCCCACACCTACTTTGTTGATGCTGAATCTTGCCTTTTGTTAAAGTGAACCCAACATCTAAGTATGCTAAGAAATGTGTAAGTCTAATACCGTATATACTCGAGTATAAGCCGTCCCGAATATAAGCCGAGGGTGGGAAATGAGGCAGCTAATGGTAGATAGATACCATTAAAATACATTAATATTTATTTAAAAGAAAAATAACCTAGCTCTGTAAGTGGAAAAGCGGGTACAGGGCTACATACAGATCATTTAATACATTCATGTTAGTATAATTGTAAATGTATTGTCTGCACTGTATTAGCAGTATATACTCTATATAGAGTATATACTGCTAATACAGTGCAGACAATACATTTACAATGATCCTCTGCTAACATGAATGGGTTAAATGATCCGTAGTACATGATATGTAGCCCTGTACTATGGGTAATTTAACCCATTCATGTTAGCAGAGGATCATTGTAAATGTATTGTCTGCACTGTATTAGCAGTATATACTCTATATAGAGTATATACTGCTAATACAGTGCAGACAATACATTTACAATGATCCTCTGCTAACATGAATGGGTTAAATGATCCGTAGTACATGATATGTAGCCCTGTACTATGGGTAATTTAACCCATTCATGTTAGCAGAGGATCATTGTAAATGTATTGTCTGCACTGTATTAGCAGTATATACTCTATATAGAGTATATACTGCTAATACAGTGCAGACAATACATTTACAATGATCCTCTGCTAACATGAATGGGTTAAATGATCCGTAGTACATGATATGTAGCCCTGTACTATGGGTAATTTAACCCATTCATGTTAGCAGAGGATCATTGTAAATGTATTGTCTGCACTGTATTAGCAGTATATACTCTATATAGAGTATATACTGCTAATACAGTGCAGACAATACATTTACAATGATCCTCTGCTAACATGAATGGGTTAAATGATCCGTAGTACATGATATGTAGCCCTGTACCCGCTTTTCCACTTACAGAGCTAGGTTATTTTTCTTTTAAATAAATATTAATGTATTTTAATGGTATCTATCTACCATTAGCTGCCTCATTTCCCACCCTCGGCTTATATTCGGGACGGCTTATACTCGAGTATATACGGTACTCGTAGGGATTTATTACTTCTTAAGATCACTGTATTCCCACAGTGTGAATCTTGGGCGAAAACAATGTCTTGTGCTCATGATGTGCCATAATGTGGCTGTCCTAAAAGTGCAAGAAAAGTAAAGATGTTCCGTATAGCAACTAGGTTCCAACATTCTGTGGATTTGGAGTTTGTAAACCATGCAGCAGTGCTTGTTCCTGAATTAGACTGGTATCTGCCTCCCACAGTCCCTTTACGACAGAACTTAGACTGGGAAAGGGAGAGACAGCACAAGGAGCTTGTCGGTTGTGTTGTGGTGCTCATGTGCTATCAGATAGCAGAGGGAGGAGCTCATCAGTTTATCTCCCTGTCAAGTCACAGGCTGGGGGTGTTGGCTTTCGAACGACAATACCTATAAATGGTCGAGAAAAATCTAATCTTCTGTCCTGCCGGGCACAGCTGTACAAATTATAGGACTGGATGGACAGAAATAAATTTCTTTAGCAGGCATAGCTGCTGACATTTCATCTGTGTTTTTTTTAGTGGTATACCTGGAGTTCAATTTTAATGCACTCTACTCTATACCTTGGTTTGCTTGCCCTATAGATAAAGTTTTTATTTTGACGTGGCCTTACTCCATCGTTCAGTGCCCATGGAATCTAGTGTTGGCCATGCACTCATTCCCTTCTGCATGTTCTCGCTTACATCTGCATGCTAGCCTGACATCCTGTCTGTCTTTTTCTTGTCCAAGAGCCAATAGATAGTTTTGGAAATAGTCAATGTTGATTTAGACTAACACATGTCTGCTGTTTCTATATCGTGTCCTCAAAAGGTGCCATGGGTTTTATAATGGGGAAGTTCTGCTGCTAGCATGCAACAAACATGAAAATGCACATAGCTAGTATTAAGGCTCTGAAGTGCTTCATCGTGTTTTGTTCTGTCCATAACAAGGTATAGGAAACGGAACAGTCTGAGAATGCAGGGTGAGCTGGACAGTCTGTATCCTGTTCATAGTGTTGACTAGGAAATGCCTTTTTTGTTTAAATAGATGAAAAAAGGGCAGCTTCCAACAAAGGACCTCTCCTCCTCCATGATAAATTTGTATAGCAGTTAACAGGTTTATGAAGTATATATGGTATGTTTACAAAACGGAGTTGACTATACGAGGCCATATTTTATAGGTTTTTAATGGGACTCCACCCACACTTTTTTTTTAATTTTATTTATGGAATTGAGAAGGATAACAAACTAAGATTTTTTTTTTTTTTTTATGCATCTCCTATTGGAGTTTTGTCACAGGATCAGGACATGAGGGCAAATTTTTGGAAGGGAGATGCTATTTTCTTTTTTTTTTTGGTCTGTCTTCCTGTTGGGTGATATTTCCTTTTGTTTCCTAGCCTAGAGGACACTCTTCCTTTTACCATTCTTAAGTTAAGCTGATTGTTTAGGATTTTTTTTTTCCCACCAATGACCAGCCATGATGTGCAAACTGTAGGAGATCATACTATCTAATGGGTTGCTACACTTTTTGGTCTTGAGACTGTAAAACATAAAAAGAATAGTAAAAGCTTTTAGGTTTAAAAATTTAACATAAAACCAGGGAATTTGCATAATTTAACATAAATTCTGTTTTTCTAGATGAGAGCCTCTTGATCGACCGTGTTCCTCATGCTGGAGTCATCAACCCCGAAGACCAGTGGACACCCTTGGTCTTACATGGCCACGTTGCTCACTTTGATGTGAAAATCAGAGTCAAATGTGATGAAAATTACTATGGAGTAATGTGCAACAAGCTTTGCCGGCCAAGGAATGACTTTGTTGGCCACTATACCTGTGACCATAATGGCAACAAGGCTTGCATGGATGGCTGGATGGGGGAAGAATGTAAACAAGGTAGGCTAACTCTTCAAATTCTAAACTGATTTTTGACTCGGCCTGAATTTATTTTTCTGGTTACAACATTGCCTGCAGGTTACCAGTGTTAGTCTTTGAATTGATCTCTGTGATGCTCTTTGGCTGTATAATGGCCAAGTGGAGTTTGCAAACAGGAAAGTGGCACTTGGATATGTATCATTCAATGATTGCTCTCTTGTGTCCTGGACTAATTTGCTCTCCATTGGACTAAAACCTGTTAATGTTATCGCAATTATATAACCAAGGAAGAAAATGCTCTTGTCTTGTGGTGTTCCTTATCAAATGCTTTATAGTGTTCAACTGGCCTGGAAACAATGTCTAACCTATTTTCTTTACAATCTACTATTTTCAGCTATTTGCAAGCAAGGATGCGACTTGTTGCATGGTGGATGCTCTGTTCCTGGGGAGTGCAAGTAAGTTGGAATACAACCTATATGTGACTACTGATCAAGTTGGTGTACTTATTGTTCAAGCCCTAGAGCAAGGATTTTTTTTGTTTTAACTTTATGATTTGGCACCCCTACAACCCCTCCAATGGATTGCGCATTGTCTCCTACCCCCCTCACTCAGTGTGGTGGTTCATCTTTGCTGGAGGTGGTACAGTGCAACATATTCATTCCCTGGTCCAAGCACTCTGCCAGCACTCCAACACCCCTCTGTTGGTGCACCTCAAGCTCCATTACCGCCTCACTGTTACCATGGCACTTGGCAAAACCTCAGTCTCTCTGCTCTCACCACTGCAACTACTGCCATCCACAAGTTCTTGCCTGTTCAGGAATAGGTAATATTGCTCCATATGTTTTACTGGAATGTAAAATTCTGCAGAATGTGTTTGCATTCATGACATTTGTCATAACCACCACAGGTAGGTTAGCAATAAGATGCTCTGGAATTCTATACAAGTTAGGTTTTTTACTTGTGAATTATGTGTTATTTGTTAGAATTGTATTATTATAGCACAGAATTAGATTTCTGGAGTGTTGTTACTGTTCCCTTGGTTGATGAAAACAGTTTGCCTTAAATTGAGTGGGGGATAGCTTGAGGTTTAGGTGTGTCGGCCTTTTGTCTGTACTGTAGACTGTAGTCTCCATTTGTGTTTCATTTTATATCATTTTTTAAAGCTCAATGAATATATGGGCAAAAAGGATTAGGTTGATGTGTATCATTCCATAATGAACAGTGGCTGGATGATTGCATTTGTACAGCTGGCTGTTCATGTTTAGTTATCTTTACATGCAGATAAGGTAAACATAAAGAAGTTAGATGGCGGTTGACTGCTTGTAGGCATATTGTGATTGTCTCCCTATTGAGCTGATTCTGTCCTGAATAGGTGATGATGCTTATGTCTTTGAGTACCACCTCCCACAGTGGTCAGTGGCTAAGGTGTACCTTGGACATCCTAAGCATGTATCCCATTTATATATTTATACATTGTGTTTCACTAGTCACAATTACCTAAAAACATGGAAAGAATGTTTGCAATCGAAAGTGTCTGCAAATAAATCCTGTTCTATATTCTCATGGCCACACACCTGCAGAAACTGATTTATAAAACTTTGCTTAACAATTGCAATTTTTAACAGTTTATCCCATGAAAAAGGAGCCACACAATATTTCCTGACACATTCAGATGCAGAATTGCTTTAAAACAGAATTATGCAGAGTAAAATACACTCATCCCCATAATTAGAGCCAATGTGTGACCCTGCAGGTGTCACACATTGGTTCAATAGATCAAGAATGAAGCCCTCAAATACAGCTGCGCTCAGTTCTTAATCGTCTCCCTGGTGAGAGCGGTGACTGTCAGTCACGGCTCCACCAGGAATTCCCCCCCCCCCCTCCGTTCCCCCAGTGCTGACAGGAGGGAGAGGGCCAGCACAGCTGGCTCTGCATCAGTCACTCAGGTGGCGGGATGAATCCTGATAATTGTCAGGGTCTTTCATGGTTGCAGCGCAGATCTGCACTGTCAGCATATAGCAAATGATTAGTTTTGTGTCACAGGAAGACATAGTAAATGTCCTCCTGTGACCCAAAAAAGGTTGGGCCATAGTTTTCTTTTTAAGTGTAGCTTTTGTCCAATGAGTTGCTGAAGCTCCAAAGGCAGCCACTTGCGTCCCAATAAACATCAGTTTGGCATGTCTGTCCTAAAGCAAAGGACCAGAGATTTGACCTTCCTCCAGCAGTCTCCTTTCCTTGCTGTGTGTTTTTGGTGCCTGTCCAATTTTGATATTGAATACAGCCAAAGTCTGGTTGGTGTATGTGGTGACCCAAATGGGTTTTCTTTTGCTATTATTCATGAAACTCCTCGTGTGTTGGCAACTTGCCTAAGCAGTTTTCAAGCACTTGGTTGGGGTTTTGGGAAATTTTGCTCTAGACCTAATGTCTTCAGAAATGCTGTGGTTTTTTGTTTTTTTTTCCTAAATGGATCATGTATTTTGCAAAGCAGGAATACATTAACACAAGCCAGCTGTGGATAATTCTGCTACTCATGTTTTGTGAGCCCTTTTTTTGGTTAATTGGTCATTATGGCAGTATACATATTTTTTTCTGTTTTAGCTAGTGATTAAATGTTCCACTGACAATTATTTTGAACAGGTAGCCACATAGATAAAAGCTTTTATGGTACAAGTGATCAGGTGTGTATACTTGAATTCTACCAGCACCAGTGTTAACGTGAAGAACAGTAGACATTGACTGGGAATAAATAACCAGAACTCTTTGGCAGGTTGTGGGTCAAAATGTAGTTAATTTTCTGCCCTTGACTTGCATGAGGGTTCCTGTGACACCAAGAATAAAAATAAGCCAGACCACCTGAACTGTGGCAATTTTTAATCAAACAGAACATACTACCGTGCTACATTATTCTATAGATAGTTGGTTTGCGATGCGAAAATGTCGAGAGTGTGATTCAGCAGTAAGCCACCTCGGATCAAAGTCTGCTTATCTAGCAACGTAAGTCCTGCAGAGACTGAAATGTTACTTCTTTGTCGACAAAATTCGTCAGCGCCCCTTTGATCCCAGCATTGAGTTTTGGTATAACCTGATTAACATCTGGCTGGTTCAGCCACAGATGAAACAGTGGGCTTGTTTATCTCTTCCGAGCATAGTGGGAATCTGTTTATAGACTGAGCCATGAAGACTTGAGCTGATTACGGTATCTCCTTAATCTTCCCTTACAAGACTTCTTGGTTTGTGTGCTTTATAAATTCCCTGGTGGATCTTATTTTGACAGCCATTTTTTTTTTTTTTGTCGTGTGCATATATAATTTTGCATATAAGTATTATGTAATCTATACATCTATACAGCCTGCAGCTAGAGCTCTAGTATCCTCTTCCCATTAGTAGCATGATTATTTTTCAGCTGTACTGAAACCCATTGTTTACAGAACTCAGTGAGTCATAGAGCAGCGCTTCATTCGTTACTTGACAGCTCAGTCTGAGGTTTCATTTAGTCACATGGAGCTGCAAAGCAAGCTGCTCTTGCGTGCGGTCTCCGATAACCGTTGCATTCCTTTTTGACATGCATTAAAGAGGACCAGAACTTTGAAAGTTTGTACCTAGAAAGTCAAGCAGAGAGCAAAATATTGTTTGCCAGTATCGCCTGTAGGCTTCTTGTAACTTTTTTATCTTTTCCCTGTTTACTGATTTACCATGTCTTGTATTGCACAGTCTCTGTGTTTGATGTTTGCAAGTTATTTAGCTGTAAAAGCCTCGGGGCTGGTGCAGACTTCGGCGATCCCGAGACCGTGATCGTGTGCAGGTGCACACAGCGGTTGTCGCGTGGCCCCGTTGATATCAGTGGGATTACATCTGCCTGGCAAATGCTGAAAAGAGCTACATGTACCTTTTTTTTGGCAACATGCACCATGCTGTTTTTAAACTGCGATCGTATGCGATTGCATGCGTGGTATCATGGCAGGAAACTGTGGGATCTGCCTGGGATGCCATTAGAAAATAATGGCACCGGCAGCGCTATCGGCAGTGGTGTGCGATTCTGTACCCGCACGACCACCCGTACGGTTTTGTGCACGATTGCCACGCATTCATGGATCGCTGAGGTGTGATCCTGGCCTCACTTGTGTAGACATCCAAAGACTGCTGCTGGGCACTGCCCTCTTAGATGTGATATCAGTAGACTCGGCTGTCACTTAAGTAACCTGTATCTCCCTTGGCAGGGGCATAAACCTTTTAAATGATTTAAATTTTTTTTCCTCTTGGCTTTTTAAACATTTTATTTTTTTTTTCTTGTTTTTTTTACCTGCACTTTTTTTTTAGATTAATGACTAGGCCACTTCACACATGGAACATTCTTTGCAAAAATGTTATGGATGAAAATTGACACAGATATAACTGTTGTAGATGCTTTTGATGTACCACCTGCATGAGATGCAATTCATAAACCTAACTCCCCATTCAGACCTATAACTTGGGTGCGATTAAGCATTCCTGCATCAAGAATTTAGGATTTCCTGCAGCAGGAATCCCTAATTTACAAGCGACATCTGTCACCCATGCAAGTTAATGATCAGGTATCAGCCATTGCATTTGAATGCCAGCACATTGCATGTAGTCGTATGTGATATGATTACATGTCGTTAATCATATTGCATACAATTACATAGCATTTCTTAACAGCATGTAATCATATCACACCTGCAATGTGCTGGCATTTGAATGCAATGGCTGATACCTGATCATTAACTTGCATGGGTGACAGATGTCGCTTGTAAATAAGGGATTCCTACTGCAGGAAATCCTAAGGTCTTGATGCAGGAATGCCTAATCGCACCTAAAGTTATAGGTCTGAATGGTGCCTTAGGTTTATAAATTGCATCTCATGCAAGTGATCTACAACAGCTACATCTGTCAATCATATTGCATACAATTACATACAGTGTTCCGGCATTCAAATGCAGAGGTTGTCACCTGATTAACTTGAATAGGTGACAGCTGACACTTTTTTGAATGGCAGATTAAGGATTCTGGCTGCAGGAAATCACAAGTTATTGACTCACAAATCCTTAATCACACCTAAAGATATAGGTCTGAATGGAGCCAAAGGCTGGGTTCACACCTAGAGGTATCGAATATGCGCGTTTGTCGCGCGGTTTGTGCCATGCGTTTTTACCGCGATTCGCGGTAAAAAAACACTTGCGTCAAACGTGCGTTTCTGATGGCTACCTGGCTTTATCCCAATGGATACGCGCGGCAAATACTCCCCAAAGAAGCTCCTGTACTTTGGGCGTAGGACGTTTTGCAGCGCGTTCCTACGCGCTGTAAAACGCCCAGGTGGGAACCATGCCCATAGGCAATGATTGGTTTTCACATGTTGAGCGTTTTACAGAGCGTAGGAACGCGCTGTAAAACGCCCAGGTGTGAACCAGGCCTAAGTGTGTGTTTTTTGTGTTTTCAA